TATATATATATATATGCGCTTCCTTTTACGTCACAGTTCCTCCTGAGCACCATGCAATCAATCATAGCAACAGTCTTCTGTATCAAGCTTCCTGCACATTTTATATATGTGTACACACACACACACACTTTGGAGTCTAAACTACTACCTGCATTGTACAGTTGAGGAAACTGTGGCATGGGGATATTATAAAGTTTGTCTTATAGTGGTTATCACACATGTGAGTTCCTTTTCCTGATTTTATTCTTCATGTATCTTTCTCAGGGAAAGAGTATTCCAAGGGAGACAGCCGATACATCCTGTGAGTATTTCGCTTTTGTCAATGGAGACCTGCGCTGGTTTGGGGTAGAAGTGAGTTAGGGGCCCTAATAAGATGCTCTGTAAGCAGAGCACAATGATGCCAGTGTCTCTCCTTTCTTTTACAGTGGTGATGGCTTCATTGTCTCTATGGAGACTCTCACAGCTTGTCTATGGGGACCACTCAGCCTGTGGGCTGTGATTGCCTTTCTCCGTCAACAACCCTCCCGCTTCGTCCTACAGCTTATGATTTCTGTGGGTAAGGAGAAGGCCTAAACTGAGCACTAGAGGGGTTAACGGGTGATCCACAAACACATTGCTATAGATGGGGTCCCGTAAGCTCCAGGTTTGTCATTTATTCTAAGGTTCTAAACTTGCCTTCAATTTTGGTTTGATCAGCCGTCCTGAATTGAGAAATTCTCCATGCTCTCACCAGGCGCGGTGATTGTATTGTAGCACTCAGAAGGCTGAGGCAGGAAGATGGTGAGTTTGGAGTCAGTCTAGGCTACATAACAAGACCCTATCAGTAAAAAAATGCAAGGGAGGAAGAAAGAAAGGAAAATGAAAAGAAAGAAAGAGCCGGGCGTGATGGCGCATGCCTTTAGTCCCAGGACTTGGGAGGCAGAGGCAGGCAGATCTCTGTGAGTTTGAGGCCAGCCTATTCTACATAGCAAGTTCCAGGCCACCGAGGGCTACAGGGAGACCCTTTCACAAAAAGAGCAAAAAAACACAAAACAAAACAAAAGAAGAAAAGAGATTCTCCAAACTCTAATTTCTAGAATTTCCACTTTCTTGTTATCTTAGATATTTAGCTCTAATTTCAGAATTTGGGCTGAGCTCTAAGGCCTTGAGGAATGATTTAGGAAATTCCGTGGAATTGAGAGCCTAAGTTAGCCTCCATGTCCTCACAGGGGTTCCTTCTCCTCTTGCCTCCCACAGGCCAGCTGTATGGGGACTTGCTGTACTTCCTGACAGAGCAACATGACGGATTCCAGCATGGGGAGCTGGGCCACCCCCTCTATTTCTGGTTTTATTTTGTTTTCATGAATGCCATATGGCTGGTGGTACCTGGAATCCTTGTGCTTGATTCCATAAAGCATCTCACTCATGCCCAGAGCATGATGGACAGCAAGGTCATGAAAGCCAAGAGCAAGCATAACTAAAGAGCAGTCCAGTGGCCTGGAACACTGTCAGTGAGGCACCCTCCCCTGCCTGCCAGAAGAACTGAATCCTGCTCCCACAGGATTGGAGCGTCAAAGCTAACTGATCTGTCACACTCAGGCTGACGAGTGGGCACAAAAGGACCAGAGACAGGAAAGGTAGGGAATATGTGTAGCTACTGTCAGGAACCACTTGGAAAACATATGAGAAGGCAGGAGGTCCATGGTGGTGGCAATTTTCAAAATCATGAAATAAAATATCATAATTGTAACACCAAGAATTATTTAATTACCAATTTGAGAAAATCCCTACAACTAACTCCACAGATCTCCCCCAACACTTATTCATCCTCAGGTCTCCATCATCATTACATAGACACCCCATGTCTGACTTCACAAACCCTCAGCACTGACTTACCACACTCCCATAATTTACCCTATAGAACCTAGAACTCACTACACAGTCTCCCCTTCAAGATCACCCCATCACTTTACCTATTAGACCCTGTCAGTTGCCCCATAGTCCCCTTGTATTAGTCAGCTTGGGCTACCATAACAAAATGATACAGACTGAGCAGCTTAAGCAACATATAGGGAAGTTCACAGATCTGGAACTAATCAGTAAAGGTGTCAGAAGGTTTGGGTTTTTTCTGAGGCTTCTTTCCTTAGTATGGGCTTTTCTCCATGTATTGGGGCTCCTGCTGTTTGTGTAGGTCCAACTTTCCTTTTAGGATGCCAAATTGGATTAGAGCCCACCCTACCAGCCTCATTTTAACTTCATCTCCTCCTTTAAAGGTTGTATCTCCAGAACAGTCCCATTCTGAGGTGCTGGGATTTAGGGCTTCAGTACATTAACCTGAGGAGGACACAGCTCAATTCAAACCATACTGTCCTCTGGTCTCCCTAAATTCATATCCCTCTTTTTTTTTGTCTTTTTGAGACAAGGTCTCCCTGTAGCCCCAACTGGCCTAGAACTCACTGTATAGACCAGGCTGGCCTTGAATTCACAGAGATCCCACCTGCCTCTGTCTCCTGAGTGCTGGAATTAAAGGTGTGAGCTACCACGCCCGGATTAACTTTTTTTGTTGAGGTTGAAGTGCTGGAGATCACAGATTGAACCCAGAGCCTTAAACTAGGGCTCTACCCCTGAGCCACACACAACACACATGAATGAACTTTATTTTTTGTTTTATTTATTTGGATTTTGGAGACAGGGTCTCATTATATAACCCAAGCTGGCCTGGGACTTTCTATGTACTCCAGACTAGTCTCATGGTCTTTCTGCTTTGGCCTCGAAAGTGCTGGAGTTGTAGATATGTTCCACTAAGCCAGCTTTTTAGATTGAATGATGATTAATTGACTGACTGACTGACTGACTGACTGTCTGACTGACTGACTGATTGATTGATTGATTGATTGATTGATTGATTGATTGATTGATTGAGAGACATGTCTCCCTATATATTGCAGACTGGTCTTAAACTTGCTATGTAGGCCAAGCTGAACTTGAACTTCTGATCCTCCTGACCCTTCTGGTTCAGCTTCTAGAGTGATGAGACTACAGGTATGTGCCACCATGCTGAGCTCCCTGCATGAATTGTTAATTCCAAGTCTCATTTAGATATCACATAAATCAAGCATGGATAAGAATTGAGGTATGATTCATCCTGAGGCATAAATTTCTATTTTCTATGAACCTGTGAAACCAGATGGGTTTTCAGCTTACAAAATACAGTGAGGACAGGCAGATTCCTATTCCACGATGGGAAACTTCAAAGAGGGAAGGGATCACAAGTCCTAAGTAAGTAAGTTCAAATTTCATTTAGTATTAAAGCTTGAGGGTCATCTCTTGGGTTTGATGCTCTGTCCTCCAGGCCTATAAGGTAGGGGACCCACCTCTAGGCCCACTGGGGCTACAGTGTTGTTCTTGGCCCTGGGAGGCATCCTGACCCACTAAAACCAAGGAATGGCCCTGGGCTTCAGAACTGAGGGGCAAACAGTTCTGTCATCAGAATCATTCTTTTCTTTTTTTTTTTCCTTTTTTTTTTGTCTTTCTGAGATAGGGTCTCCCTGTAGCCCCAGCTGTCCTGGATTCACCATGGAGACCAGACTGGCCTCAAATTCAAGTGCTGGGATTAAAGGCGTGCACCACCACTTCCAGCAAAAATTCTTTTCTTAAAGAAAAAAGGCTATTCATATCCAGGGAACCCTATTCTGTCCTGTAGAATTGCAGGAGTGGGATAGTCTTCCTTTATTTTGCTCTGTCCCTATCTCCCTCAGTCCCAGCTGGAAGTGTTGTGCTGGTGTTGCCTTACCTCAATTCCTGGATTTTGATGAGCTAGGCTGGTTACATGAGTGCAGCACACTCAGCAGTGATTTTTATGGGTTGTATAACAATGGCATTGGCGTTTTCTCTAGGACATTTTCTTGGTTTTATAATATGGGATAAGCTGAAAATATTCTAAATAAGCTGAAAATATTCTAAATCTTCTTGTTCCTTTCTACCTATACTTCTTTTTCAATTGATCTGTCCCCAGTCATATTTTTATGTAAGCAGCACAGAGAAACCCAACTACATCTTCAAAACGTTTTTTTAACTTTTTGTTTGCTTGTGTCCTTTTGTGTTTGATGTAGTTCTCATACTGTAGCCCAAGCTAACCTGAAACTCATTATGTAGCCAGGATGGCCTAGACTCATGGCAGTCCTCCTGCCTCAGCCTCCTGGGTGTGAGCCACCACCCCCAGCAATCCAGCAATCTTCAATGCATTTCTTAGAAATCACCTCAACTAAAACTTCAAGTTTATCATTCACGAGTTCTTTTTTTTTTTTGAAACAACATCTCCCTGTAGCCCCAGCTGGCCTGGAATTTGCTATGTAGACCAGGCTTGGCCTCGAACTCACAAAGATCCACCCGCTTCTGCCTCCCAAGTGCTGGGACTAAAGGCCACCATGCCCGACCTTCATTCACAAGTTCTATCTTCTGCAAAGCACTAACATTAAGTTAAGTTCTTTGCCTTCTAGTTTCCAATATGTTCCATGTTCCTCATTTCCATGTGAGACTTCAACAGAAGCACCTTTGACATCCATATTCTTACCAACTCAGTTGTCCTAGTCTGGACTGATACAACAAAACACCATAAGTTGGGTGGCTTATAAACAAAAGAAGCTTATTTAGCACAGTTCTGGAGGATAGCATTAGCAGATTGGAGATCTATTGAGGGTCACCTTTCCACTGTATTCTCATATAGTTGAAGGGTGAGAACATTGGTCTCTTCATCTCCTTATAAGGCCACTAATCCTGTTCAGGAGAGTACTAGTCTCATGATCTAATGAACTCCCATAGCCCCACCTCCTAATACTATCATACTGAGGATTTGGTTTCAACATAGGGATGAGGGAAGGACACAAAATGTTGAGACTATAATAACCTAGGCTTTTTTTTTTCAAAGCATGTACCTCAGAACTCTTATAACCTTTACCCATTATCCAGTTGCAAAACTACTTCCATATCTTTAGATATTTGTTATAGCAGCATCCATCCTACTTCTTAATACCAAAGTATTTGTTAGCTTGTTAGGGTGGCTTTAACAATATACCATAGACCAAGAGGTTGTGTGTGTGTGTGTGTGTGTGTGTGTGTGTGTGTGTCTCATATCTCAGATTGGCCTTGAACTCTTGATCTTCCTGCCTCCACCTCCCAAGTGCTGGAATTACAGGTGTACACCACCATGTCTGGCTTCCATGTGGCCTAAACAACATAAATTTGTGAGTTCAAGACCAGCCTTGTCAACTTAATGAGACCCTGTCTCAAAAAGTAAAAAGAGGGGCTAGAGAGATGGCTCAGCAGTTAAGAGTACTGGCTGCACTTGCAGAGGACCTGGGTTCGATTTCTAGCACCCACATAGTGGCTAAATAACTCCAATTCCAGGGGAATACGATGCCCTCTTCTGACCTCTGCAGGCGTTGCATGACACAGGTGCACTTACATATATCCAGGCAATGCACTTATACACTAAAAAAAAATTTAAAAAGAGGGCTGGGGACATAGATCTGTGGTAGACTATTTGTCTAACTTGAACAAGGCCCTCTGTTCAATCCCCAGTACTGCAAACAAACAAAAAACCATTTTTTTCCTCAGAGTTCTGGATGCTGAAAATTCAAGTTCACCTTGTCAGAAGGTTTGATTTCTTGTGAGGCTGTTCTCCTTGGGTTGCACGTAGCCATTTCTCACTGTGTCCTCACCGGATTTTTCCCTCTGTACATACCTAATTGCACATATATGTTGCAACTGCTTCTTACCAAGACATCAGTGAGATTGGCTTAGAGCCCAGCCTACCTACCAGCCTCATTTGGACTTAATCTCTTCTTCCAGGGGCTGGAGAGATGGCTCAGCAGTTAAGAACACTGACTACTGTTCTTGCAGAGGACCTGGGTTCGAATCCCAGCACCCACATGGCAGCTAACGGCTGTCCGTAACTCCAGTTCCGGGGGCAGCCTCTTCTGTCCTCTGCAGGCATTGCATGGCATGAGTGCACTTACCTACATGCAGGCAGTACACACATACACATAAAATAAAAATAATAAATAAAATATTTTTAAAAGCCCTTCCTCCAAAATATAGACACACTGTGAGATACTGGGAATTAGGATTTCAATCATTCACCTCGCAGACTCATTCCTGCATTATTTAGCTTACTGGTCCCTAATCACTCATTCCACAAACTTACCCATCTCTGACCCTACAAAACTCACTTGCTCCACAGACCTTGCCATTCATCCCATAGACACAGTATTACAGACTTCTCAGCTGTCCTATGGTTGACCTCACAGAACCCCCATCTCTTGCAGCACAATATCCCATCACTCACCTTACAGGCCAACACAACAACGTTTACAGATCCCTGTCACCTGGCAGCACCTCATCAGTCACCTACAGATCCATAATCCCTCATCCTAAAGACTAACTTCAGTTCCTTACAGATACATCTCATAGGCCCCGCCAATAACCTTGTCCCTCATTTCTCAATACCCATCATTCACTGCAGAGCTTAACTTATCCATCATTATCTCATAAATCCTCATCCCTTAGCTTATAAAGTATCTTGATCTAACACAGGCCCTATCACTGACCCCACAGACCCTCATTATGCTTTGTCTTAGTTAGTCCAGGCTTTCTTTATTTTATGTATATGGGTGTTTTGCCTGCATATATGTAAGTGCACCACATGTGTGCAATGCCCGCAGAGGCCAAAAGAGAGTGTCAGATCCCCTA